AGGAGGAGGAGGAGGAGGAATGAAAGGAGCGTAGGGGAAATGGAGTGCGTAATGCAATATGTAGCTATAATATCCACCCCTCCCTGCAGCCACACCCCTTTGCACTGCCATTGCTCCCATCAAGATGTGGGGGCTGGTTCTCCTCCCCTGGAACCTGGCCTGGGCCGTGTCTTTCTTGGACCACTAGAATGTGACGTTACCTGACTTTTGAGACCGGGCGTAAGAAGTTTGGTAGCTCTTACCTTTGTCCTTGGACCCCTGCCAGCTGCCATGGACCCGGCCAGGGCTAGCCAGGTGGGGGATGGGAGACCATCTGGAGGAAGGCCCAGCGGTTCTCAGTGAGTGCCACCTGGTGACAGCCTCATGCGTGAGCTCAGGCAACACCAGAAGAAGAGCCGCTAAGCTGAGCCCAACCCAGATCGCCATCCCATAGAACGGTGAGAAATACGAAATACCCGTTCCAAGCCACCGGCTTTTGTTACGCGGCAAAAGCTCACTGATACAGATGAAATCAGGGCCTTCATTTCATTGAAGAGAAAACCGAGGCTCATTTCTGGCACATGCTTGGCCGGGTTGGAAATTGAGTTCATGGGCAGCTCAGGACTAAATGTCAGCCTGGTGCTCACGGGACTCCTCAAACCAGCCTGCTCCTCGGCTCTTGCATAACTCAAGGCCTTTTTCCAGGAAACGTGTTGAAATGATCTCCATGGCAAACTACATTTTCCTCAACAAATCTGGGCGGGCGTGAGGCACAAAAAGACATTTCCCAAGTCACTTCAAAAAGAGAAAGCGGGGGAGAGGTGTAATTCCTGTGCAGAAAGGTGATGGAATAGCAGGTCTGACTTAAGCCTGCTTGCAAGTCCAGCCCTCGGCTGGCCTCTGGGAACTTGGACGGGGGAGGGTTCCTGCCATCCCCTGGTAAGAGGGCTCACTGTGCCTAAGCTGTTTGTGCAAACAGTGTGCTCTGTGTTGGGCACCTGCTTTCCTCCTGGGAGTCTGGGGTTTGGGGACAAGCACGGCCTAGGTGTCTGACCCCAGTAAAAGCCCTGGGCACTGGGTCTCTGCTGACATCCCTGGCTGACAACACCTCACATGTTTTCACAGTTTGTTGCTGGAGGAGCGAAGTGCTTCCTGTGTGACTCCGTGTACCTGGCTCCCTCTGGCCTTCACCCCAGGCTTTTTTTATTTATTCATTTTTTTTTTTACTGATTTTGCTTTGCATCCTTTCTCTGTGATGGATAAGACTACGAGCTGGTTGTGTGAATCCTCCTGGTGACTTGCTGAACCTGGGGCTGGTCTTGGGGACCCCAACACATGCCCTAATGCTGTACCCAGGGCCACAGTTTGGCATCTGGGATGTCCCTTTTTGTCCGAAGTGCTGGTTGAATGGCTCGGTTAGTATGAGTAACTCATTCTCTAAGAGTCTACTCAAATGCCACCTCCTCTGTGAAGCCTCCCATGATTATACCTCCCTTCCCCCGGCTCCTTGAGCCCTAGTCCTACCTAGCAGCTCGTGTGCAGGTAACCTGGGAGGGAGGGACACTCTCATTGTGGGTGGCAAAGGGTTTGGTAGAATCAGTGGTAGGGGAGCCAGAGAGACCCAGATGCAAATCCTGGCTTAGCTAGTTGTAGGAACTTCTCCCCTCTGAGCCTTGTTTTTTGTCATCTGCAAAATGGGAACAGAAGAGATTAGGTTTGCTGAACGAAACATAAAATCCAAGTAACAATGGGTTTAAGGAAATTGTAGGTATAGTTATCTCTATGGTAAAGAAGCCTGAGGTAGGTAACAAGCCTGGTAATCAGGGACCAAAGCTCCTTCTAACTTCCTGCTTGTACCCTCAGGTCTCCGCACGGGCCAGCGTGGCTGCCTGTCTCCAGCCGTTGTGCCTGAGTTTCAGGCAGGAAGAAGGATGAAGATGTGAGGGGCTCCCTTTAACGGGACCTTCCTGGGGCTCCTTCTGGCCTGAAGTCAGCCCTTCTTCCCCAAACGGGGCTCTGCCTTATCCGTGTGCCCTGGATGGAGGTTCGTAGTTGGTTATGGGGAGCACACAGCGTTCCCCAAATACGGGGTCTGGGAGGTCCCCATTTATGGAGTCCTCTCTGCACGCCAGGCACTGTGCGAAGTGATTGTACAACATCTCACTTCATCCTTTCCACAACCCAACAAAGTGCACTACGTCCTCGTTTTATGGATGTGGAAACTAGGTTCAGAGAGTGTAAGTCACACAGCCAGGAAGGAGCAAAGCTCAGACCCGAGCCCCGTGCTGTCTGACTTCATTGCCACTCTGACCTTGTG